TTGTAAATATGCATACGTAAGCAGTTATGCACATGTACAAAACAGCAATCAATTCCATTGACATTCTGAAGTACATAAGGGCTTGTATTATTTAAAAGGTATGACAAAATATGATAGCTGATATGTAAAAGCAGCAAAGGGCAGGCAAACCCATCTGGAAGTTAAAATTTTTCTTTTGACTAGTGCAGTACATCAGTGTGGGCAATGTAACGCATCCTAAGCTAAATGAACTAAAGAGAAACCTGAAGAGGCCTACTACACAACCATGGGGCACATGAAGTAACATCCTCCTATGACATTAGACGTTGTTCTACAGTCAAGCACATCTCCACAGAGCCGACAACTTTAGACAGCATATTCATACACTTGCACAGCCCATTTTACTATAAAGCTTTCAAATCTGAAGATGACACTAAACCAGCAAAAACTAGCAAGCGTACTTTGATTTAAATCAAAGTGTTAAAATATCATAAACTAATCCAGAAAAAAGGATGTTTCAGTGAAATATATATTCTTGCTAAAGTATGCAAGATCAAAAATGAGAAATTCAGGATCACAGGACCTTGCCCAGACATCGTGCTGTCCACAAGAGCCATCCACGCCTTTGGCAGTTAACAATTACAAGTAACTCAAGAATGCAACATAATCATCTGTTTGCAAGTTTCACCAAAAAAGTGAAAAACGGAGCCCAATGCCAGCCATTCTTAATATCTGAATATCTCAAGCACCTCCAAGTGCATTTGCACAACTGGAAAATGCTGCCACAGGATAATAAAGAGCATGTGTTGTTTAAGATCCTTGACATTAGATTAAATACTGCCCTATGAAGGATTTAAGATTAATTTCACCAATCTTGCCATAACACTGCAAGTTTTACTACATAAGCACTCTGCTCAGAGAACCCTGAAATGAAACAAATTATGCAACTTCTTGATGATCATGCCCGGAAAAATGGTCAGTTATGTGCATACTTTCCTTTCCAATCCCTTGGGGATAACAAAGAAGACCTATTGTTAGAGATCCTTGACACAAGATTAAATGCTGGTCTATGAAAGATTTCAGATTAATATCACCAATTTTGCCATAACACTGCAAGATGTACTACATAAGGACCTATATTAGGGAACCCTGAACTGAGATAAATCGAGCAACTTCTTGATAATCACCTCCAGACAACTGGTTAATTATGCAGATACTTCATCCTCCCATCACTTTTCTCAGGCGCTAAATAGCATTAGTCAAGAACAATTATGCATATACATCTAGTTAATAATTAGATGGTCCTCACCGTCTACATCCTAACTAATTACTAAAGTTTGTACCAGTGAAGTCAAAAGCAAGAGCATAGGATCCTAACCCATTTCACACATACAAGTACATGCATGCAAAAATCCATTTTTCTCATGCACAGGAGACCCGTAACTGTTGTTAAAGCAGTGAACTTAGCTCAGAACTAGGGCCATCTCTTCAGAGGAGTAAAGACAGAGGAGATGGAAACGCACCTCTTTTCTGCATACACGTGACGTGGCTCCTAATGCTACCAGCCTTACCATTACCTGATGGAACTAAGTTTGGGCATCCCTGGCTGTAAGAGGGAAGTCCCACACTAAGCATGACAATATATAGCAGAAAGGGTTTGAAGTGTGAGCTAAGTTGCAGAGAAAGTTTTCGTCTTTGTAAGTATAGCAGCCACAACAGTGTCTAGCAAAACTGTTCTACCTGGAATTGAGCTATGGTAATCTTAACAAATTTCTCTTGTTCTGAGTAATTTCTTATTATTCAGATCTGCTTTACACAATATACTGCTGTTGAATAAAGGGGTGGAGTGGTGTCAAGAGCAAATCTAGTTTCCTCTGCCTAGGGTTCATCCTGTGAGCAAAAGAAATGCTGCAGATGCTTCAGGCGGTTGCAAGATGGATATATACCTCTTTTTTTCTTTTTAAAGCAGAAAACATTGCTGCCTCTTCTCTTAGAATGGTAACTTTAATACAGTTCTCAATGTACCCCTGTTAAAGCAGCCTATCCTGCTTTCTATACTATCTGCCATTAACCTGCTTACAGTGTGAAGGAAAGCTACGAAGGAGTTTAGGACTAAACAGTAAGGACGAGGTTTGAATCCATCTTCTTGATACTGTTCTCTCGGTCATGAAAGAGCCTCAATCTATGCTATGTACACTAGGAGTGTGTAACAAAGCATACACAAAAATAAAAAACCTGTCCACAGCCACTGGTACCCCTGCTTGATTGGGTTTGCTATTATTTGTATTACTTTTGCCAACAAGAGCAAAGAGAGCTTACTCTTTCTAAAAGGATTAGGAAGACAAGCGTGGTTGGCAGCTCTGTGAAAGCCTGTTAAGTCTAGACACGCTGACAGACACTTCTAGTTTATAGCCAGATGGCAGCTTTAAAGATACCACCATGAACACGAGTGGAAGCCTTCACTTCTGAAGCAGTCAATGGCTAATGCCGCACTTCCAAAGGAAGAGAGAAAGAGAGATTTCATTTCTTCCGAGAAATACACAAATGCTACAGTGACGGACATGCAATAAAAACGTGAATTACAATGCAGAGAAAAAGGCAACGTATCACTTAGAGGTAAGTATCTGCTTTCATGTGCTACTGCTGGTGGTTATTTGGGGGAATCTGGGCACAGCTCATTAGTATGTGACATACACCATTAAATAAATAATCAAAATAACAAAAATAGTTTCTTACCTAAACAAAAGGGATATATTAAAATTTTGAAAGGGGTAGTTTAAACTCTTTAGCTCTGTTCTTTTTGTCAGAGTAACTTGTAGCAGCATATCTGAAAAAAGCACTGAATTCTAGAGAAGACATTCACCAAATTCTAATGACTTCTGCTTAAAAGGAGATACTTAATAGTTTTACTTTTTTCATTTATTTCCCCTTCCTGCTCCTCTTCCAGGTAGACACTGAAATACTCTAAAATGGAGATGTAACACTAACTTTCTTCTTTAGGTATTGCTGAAAAGTGCTAGATGAAATACAGAAATACAGCTCACTGTCACGTAGGCAACCAATCTCGTGTATTATTTATAAAGCAGATCAAAACAAAGGTGAAAACTAAAATTGCAATTGCAAATATGAATATCAAATAACCGAAGAACCACCTGGACAAACACAGATGCACTATTCTCAAAGGTACAGACTTGGCTACCAGAGTAGATACTAGCAGGAAGACAGCCTATCTGAGGAATTCTGTGGTACAAAACGCAGAAGAAAAGATGAAGATCCCATGTCATCTTACAGGAGATGCAGGGTTTGGAAGATATAAATGTAAATCAGCTTGTCAATAAAACACACAGCTACAATAATAAGAATCAAAGACATAACTATCTGCTAGCCATATTTCAAATTCTAGATTTCTTGGGCAATGCTTGCATGCGTGTTTTCTAAAGCACGCTATTTTTCCAACATTAAATCGATGAATCATATACAATAACAAACCTGTGTAAGCATACCCCAACACCTCTTCATGAAAACGTCCCCACTTCTGATATGACTAAGCCCTAATAATGTTCTTCCAAACAATCTTCCATTTGCTAGAAACAGGCCCCTGGCTAAAGCACAACAGGCATATACTTTAATAATCTCTTGATTACCTGGATACAGCCTGGAACACCTAATAAATCTGTCTATTTTTCAAGTGGAGTGGGATTGATTTCCCCAGGGTTTCTTTGTCAGTTCCGTTTTAGTACTTAATATGAAGAGAAAATTATCAGAGAAGGTCAAATCTGACATGAAAAACTAGAAGGAGTACACACCGATGAAGACTTTTGCTGCATTTAAAATAAATGTCCACTTGCTTTTTCTTAGGCCCTGTCTTCGTTCAGTCTTTATTTAACATCGCATAGGCTTCATAGCTTGTAACAAGCCCAATCACAGCTTGGCAACATGCTCAAATAGCCAGGAGTTTCAACATTTGAATAGTAATCAAGTAAAAAACGGGGTGTTTTTGCCTACCATTTTGTTATCAGTAAATAGCCAAAGGTATTTACCACAATCGTGACTTTGTACTGCAGAAAATTACTTGAAATGAGAGGTCTAAGTAAAAGTTTGAGACATACCGATAATTTTAATCCTCAATCGCCTAACCAAGCCAATTTAACGAAGAGATTTTCCATTCTGTGTATGTTCTATAACCTTCAATAGTATAAACGGATGCTATATTGACTTACAGGTAAGTTTAACCATTGGTAACAAACAGCATAAAAATGTCTTGTTCTAATCCTCTTTGCTCTCTAATTTAAAACCCAAATTTCATAGCAACTTTTACTAGATTTTCCCTCATACTGTAGTAAGGGAGATTTAAAATATTTTTTTTAAAGAATACTAAAAAGTTCAGAGAAAAGAATATGAATTTTTAAAAATGCAAGAAGACAGCACTAATGATACTACAAATAGTTAAATAATAGACATAGCCAGGTTATTAAAAATTTAGATAATTACATTTAGTATGGATGAATGTAATTATGCATACTCATTTTGATATTCCCTACAGTGAATACTTACCTCAAAGTTTAAAATGCCCTTTAAAGTTTTAATGGGAAATCTTTCAAAATGTTTCAATATATTACTGCACAGCTAAAATGCAGAAATCTTCTTACAGTTTTAAGAAACTGCATTTTTCAGATTTATCTATAAAGCTTGGCAATATTGGCAATGTAGTATACTGTGCTTAATGCAAAGTCCTATCAATCATCAAGCTTTTATCACAGTGTTTAGAGTTAAACTCTTCATATCAACACCTACTTTCTCCCAGATTTCAGGGTCAGATCCTGCAAATTTTATTCTTGCAAATATTGTACAAGGCCAGTTTTGTCAATTTCTTTGGGTATTCTCACGTGTGAGAACTTCTCACGTAAGACTTTTTTTCATGTTTAATCTCCATTAGACAATGCCACACAAAACAAAGGAAATCAAGCTCAGAGTACTTTTACAATTCACTGTTGAAAGGAAGTAAAGAAAGCGTATTTTACCTGAGTCTCCACACCTTGCTCAAGCAACCTTTTAGCCTGATTTTCCACCTCAAGCCGAGCTCTTGCAATAAAAAGCAGGTCATTTTCAATTACTTCTATTCCAGAGAGATCTATCCCTTGAGAAAGGTAATCTATAAAAGCAACAAAACATTGATAAGCATGACATAGGATAATGGAACATTTTAAACATGCTAAAACATTTATAAGTTACAGTTAGTTCCAAGGGACATTTTTTCATACAGCACTTGACAAAAGTATGTCAAAGTAATGTATTACACCAGACAAACTGAAAATCAAAAGATTATTACTCAAGAAAACCTGGATATGGAATACATTGAATTTACTTCACCACACTTCTCTAGACCCAGACACTGCTGAAGAGGTGCACAGCGTGAGTTCTAGAACTCCAGAATCTCAGTCACAGGGCAGGAAGGGGCAAGAAGTCACCTCCTTGTCCCAGAGGATTAACCAGATAATTAACTTCTCTAACCAGATGTTTGAATAAGCATAATTTGCTCTCAGATCTGAAATTCCAGATGTATCATATATTAATAGATTTAAATTATACTTCATATATTTAAATTGCAGTTCTAAACATATGGGATCAAACACAGAAGAACAGCAAGAAAAGAAAACTTTTTTTTTTTCATTTTTAATTACAGAAACATCACAAAATTTATCATCATCATGAAAACCACCATCAGTAGGGCATCTACAGATTACTGGGCTGGACTGGCAACTGCGGCAAGAAAATCTATTCAAACTCAACTTTTGTCACTGGCTATGTAGATTTGGCCAACTCACTTCATCTTTCACTAATAGCCACTTAATAATTAGAACACTCCAGCAAGTAGAAAACCCAACACTTTATCAAAGGAGGTTTGAACCTGTGACATCCTTTCTTCCAGACACATTCACTTTCTTTTAAAGGGGCGACATTGTAATGCCTGCTCTTTGGACTACTTAGGCTTTTCACATGGGACAATTTTAGATATAAAACACAATCCAGGGAGTAAAAACGAGGTTTTCATACTCTCTGAGGTCCCTGACCTCTGTGTTCCCTCCTGTTGGCTCTTTGCCTGATCTTACACTCCTGACCTACCCTAACTAGTGACCTGCCTTTGAAAGAAGGGCTGGAGGATGCCTCTTCCCAGATACCTTTGATTGTTAGTGACACTCACTTGGGATGCAGGAACTGTATATTCAACTTCCTTCAGGCTAATGAAGACCTACAGCTTGGATTGGGCTAGAACTCAAATTGTTCAAATATTATAGAATTGCACCCATAACTATTGCACATTTTTGCAAATCAAACCAACTATGGCCACTGCTCTGAAATCCATGTTCCTGGAATACGGAAAGCAGGACCTGAGAACACCTACTGCTTTAGGCTCCTCCAAGAACAGACACACCTCTCCACTTAAAACTCTGAATTACAACATAAATTAGGTGGGAACTGGATGATTAAATTTATAAAATGAACATTTCTGAACATGTCTGGGTGCCTTAGATTAGATCCACACAGAAATGTAAAAGCAGTCTAGGAAGGAACCTAGTGAACCTGAGGAACCTTTGAAGTTAAACAACGCTTCTTTTTTTTTTTTTTTTTCCTCTTTTATCTTTCTAGATTTAAATCATCCCAATTCCCCATGTCAAGGTAGCCTAGACCTTTACACTACTGCTTATCTCCAAGATAACTCAGGATTACTCTCGTTTACACGTTTTTCAGCATTTTGCTCAATCAAGCAGGTCTTTCACTGCTTCTTTTGAAAGAACCAATAAAACCAACAAAAAAATGGCCACGGCGTTTCACTCAGTGTCAGATACTTCCTTCATAAGACAATGTTGCACTATTTCCATTTATAACCAGCCTACTATGACTTCCTAATAGTTGTCTTCCTTTTATGTCCTCCCAGTAAGTTTATTAAGGCACAGACTTAAATTCCAACTAAGCTAACTGAACTTTTAAATCTTTGCCAAATAACATTTCACTTTAGTAGCCAATTACTTTTGTTTATTCACAATAAATTAATCTAAGCCTCAGATTAATTTTAGCAACCACATGTTCACAGCTGAACACAAAATTCCAAGTGAGTCACTTCACAGCTATGCAGAGAACAATATCCTTGGACCTGCATATGAGAAACACTGCAAAAGAAAATGAAACAAAAAGTTTAGAGAAGTACTGCATAAAGCTTCGTAAGGCATAAAGGAAATCAACTCTCTTAACAGTACAGTATGTCAAATAGGTTTTAGTCTACTAAGAATAGGCCGCAAATGCTTTTGTCTGTATGCATTTGTTTAAAAATGGATCAGAGAAGCCAAAGGACAGCCAAGCAGCAGGACAGCACACCTCATGCTGCACAGGCTATTAATGAAGCCCTATATGCAGGCATGCTTACAAAGCTGCTTTTGCTAGGGGCTACAGCAGCCACACTCACTCACTACTTCCTTGCAACTTTTTTCTGTGACTAAACTGCATATCTACAGGTGGCCTTGCATATGAACCTATTAAAACTAGTATTAAACTCCCACTAACTTCAATTACTAACTTCAATGAGCAAGTGTCTTGAATGTGAAGACTAGTTTTCTGACCCCTTCCTTCAGCTGCACAGGAAAAAAAAAAAAAGTGCAAAGAACTACCCACAGATTAAGCCTACTGCCATAGTAAACTCTGAAGTAGTATCTTGGCAACATGAGATTAAAAAAGGTGCAAATATCACCAAAGGCTTACATAGCCCATAAATACAAGATCTGCTGTGGAGTTCACTTATGTCATAAAATCATATTTCGCAACCCCAGGCTGCTTAAATAAAATAAAATTAAAATATGGTTCTGATCTCCTAAATCCACAGAAAAATGTGTGGAAGAGAACTAAAAAAGAGACTGTTTCTCCCTGCTGTATTTTATCTCAAAATCTAAATTAAGCCATTTCAAGTGCTAAAAATCTAATCCTTCTGATGGTTTTAAGAAAGGAACAGAAAGACCATGCTGCTTTGGCTTCTCCAAATACCTCCATCTGTGCCTCAGACTGGCAGCCACCTCCTGCTAAACTGCCAAAATCTGCAGCTTCATTCCAAATTTCCTGCAATCCTAGCAAAATGCTTTGGGACAAAGTGGCTAGACATCCTGCTACGGATGCTCTTAGTTGCTGTTCTAACCAGTAGGGAAGCCCTAGCAATCATATTATACCTTTTTCAAAAGAAAAGCCGTTTTCACACGGACAGCAGGCCTACATCAGAAACACCTGCAAGTGCTTTCCTGCCATTCCTATGTGAGAGCAGAAGCTGCAACACAGGCAGGGTATGCGCCTTTTGATATAGAAATCTCTACACTTGTGTATTCTCAGGAGAGATGCTGCCATCACGGACAGCACAATGAAACCGAGCAGAAGGGCAGTTGACACAAGGGCAGCCAGATCATAGCCAGAACCACAGTGCATTTAAGATCCAGTTTATATAAAATATTGCAGAGGAACTCACACATTCCAACCAGCCAGTTTTAGTTAGTAAAGAAACCATGTCATGTGAAATACAACAAAGATACTACCAGTTATTAACCCAGGGACCGGCAAATGTAGGATTTTGCTTCAGGCACTCCAGTGCAATCATTATTCTGTTTCTTGCCGTGCACGGTCAGTTGATAACATTACGGTCATGATCAGAGGTGAGGGTGACGTGCTGTAAGGTACTCGTGTCTTCTTCTCAGGAATTAAGCAGACACAATGGCTTATCTCCCAGTTAGCAAAGACTCTGGGGACTGGGGCCCAGTTTAAAACTTGTCAGCTTTCCTCCTGCTTTAACCTTAAAGCACTAGAGTAAACCTAATACTATAATAACCATAACAGATTTAGTGAGTATAGTATTTAGAACTGTCAGCTCTACGTTAACAGATTTAAAAAGCACATATATAATATTTTGTTAGCTTTGAGAAGACTTGTGCTTTAAACAAATTAGGACCTAAATATCTTGTAACACCACATGCCAGGGCTGGACGCAGCCATGACAGGCACTGCCCTCACACCAGTACGGCACGCAGCCAGCTGCTCCAGTCGCTTCTGCTCAGCAGAGCCCAGGAGGAAATCAGAGGAGGGAACCATAGTCCCATAGCCATTCCTCTACCGCATTCCTCTGCTAATTCTACCTCTTTATATAGGTTCATAAAAATAAAAGCAAATCCTTAACTCTCCCATAGGGTGTAGGCATTGCTTCCCTTATAACTATTACACCTTATTAAGCTTGGAAAGCACAGCTGGAAATTACTTTTTAAGGACTTAAAATACAGACTGCCTGCTGAATCCTCTTCTTGAACAAAAATATTATATGTCAAGGCAGAATACACTGAGCCCTAGGAATCAGTGACATTTAAAATCTACCTCAGCCTATCAAAGGGTTAGAACTTTGTATTTCTTAAAGAATAAAGATTTTTGTCATTACAATTCCAAATTTTCTTGGTTTACGAAATCTGAACAGCTTTTCTAATCTACTGGCTGAGATGCTGCTTAAAAATGCACTTTTAAAACCCACATTTCCCAGATAGTTATGTAAGAGGAGTTTAATAGAGAGAGATAAATCCGATATGCCCATTGTACATTAGGCAGAAAAACAATACTTTGAGCAACGCAGTTAGGTTTTCTTAATCTAAGTGAGTCAACAATGTAGAATCTTTCTATTATACGATTTCATTTTTTTACCTCAAACATTGCTCTGTGATAATATATAATGAAGATAGGAAAAAATCTGAATTAAAACTTTCTCTAAGTACTAAAATACATTTTGGAAAAAAAGATAACTATGAAGCTAGCATCCTTATGAGCTTCATTAAAACTGTATTATGCTCTTTATTTAGACTGAGTTGATTTTGAGCTTTTGCTAGAAACGAGAGAATCAAGAGAGGTCTACCAGGACAATCAGGTGCACTAACAAAGAAGAAACCAGGACAGCCAGCAATAAACCAATGTGATCAGACTGCGTCACTCGAGAGGCTACTTGAGCCAAAAGAGAAATCCTTCTGTGCTCTGAGAAGTAACCTCAGTGACGCTAATAAAGAGGATGAAAGAAGGAAATTAGAAGAGCTAAAGTGGATTCCCTAGGAGCAAACACCTAAGATCAGCACCACCCCCTCAAAGCAT